AGTTAAGCACCCCTAGTTAATGATTATTAAATCATAATGTTTAGTTCTCAATCAATTTATTCTCGCATTTAACCCATTTTGTAGGGTCTTTAAGCAGTTGGCTGATTTACCCTTGGTTTGTTTTTAATCAGCATGGTTTCTTTTTATTTTACTTCATGCAGCTTGGAAAAATTAAAGCCAGAGAAAGAGCTTCAGCGTGCAAAATCTCATATTTTAGAATACAAATTGAGAATAAGAGAGTTATTTCAACGTCTTGATCTGTCGCTTGCTGTGGGAAGGCTTTCCGCTTCTTTGTTTGACTCTGAAGGAGAGATAGATAGTGAAGATGTATGGAGTTACCTTTTGTTCAATACCTCAATTATCATCAGCTACTCTAATCACATGCATTATATTTAGGTTTTTGGATGGCATCACTTGATTTAATTCAGTCTTGCACTCCTGTGTGGCACATGAATTTAGCATGTGGAATTGCAATTTTGCTTGGATCCATCGGTTCTATTCCTATGTTGAACGAACACTTTAGTTAGGATAGCGTGTTCATCTCCGACACTTTATCATAATCGTTTTCCTTTTTTATCAGAAATATTATATATTTTTAACTCAAAATTATTATTAAAAAATAATAAATAGGTTATAAAAGATTTAAACAAGAAAAATTAATAACAAGTAAAAAACTAAATTTATACTATATAAATTAATAATTTTTAATTAAAGTGTCGACAACTTGTCGTGTCAATACTCTTTGGAAAATCATGTGTCGGACATATCAATATCGGTACATCATAGGTTTTATTGCTCTCAATCAATGTTTCAGAAGGCATTTTAACACCTTGAGTTAGAACGGAAAAAGGAAAAAATGAAAAATCTCTTTTTTGCTATCTTACTTTGGATGCTTTTCTTTTTTCATTTTTATTTGAAATTAGTTTCCCTTTTTTGTTAACCTTTTTCCCAAATCAGGATTGTAATATTATTTGGTGATAATGCAATCCTTTTGGTTTATATATGTCATTTCTTTTGTCCAGGTGCTATTAGGTGCTTCCGATGTATTCATATTCTCTTCTACAACCAATGACATTATTTGTGATACTATGCATTGCTAAATCATTTGGTGTTTCTCCACTTGTTTAGATTCACTCTTCTGTTTCGATGAACTATGCAGGTTTTTTTTTTTTTTTTTTTGCTCGAATATTCAATTTCCGGAACCTTTCAGATGCTGAATGTGGCTTGAAACTTTGTTGTGTGAAAAAGTTTGTCCAAAAGTAAATAATATGATATTAATATATGATTTAATCATAGCTGTTGAAAGAATCGTGGTTGACTGAAAAATAATAATAATAAAATTAAAATTAAAATTAAATCTGAAACTGGTGAGCTTCATGCACAGGAGCTTTCGGCTTCCTCAAAAAACATTAATCTTCGTCTTTGCCTACTAGAACACTTCTTGCAAGTCGTGATGACATAGCATGCAACACTGTTTAGCTTTGTGTCTATAATTGAGAATTGGTTTGGAAATGTTTTAAGCATCTTTTTCTATTGCAGATTTTCTGCTCGAAATGTGGTTCTAAGGATGTGACAGCGGACAATGATATTATTCTTTGTGATGGTGCATGTCAACGTGGATTTCACCAGTTCTGTTTGGAACCGCCTCTGTTAAAACAAGACTGTAATTACACTCAGTTGGCATAGCCTGCTTTTGTTTCTCATGTCCTGAACGTCATCTTACTTTTATTCTTGGTCTAATATTATTCCCTTTTTGGGTGTATATACAGTTCCACCAGATGATGAAGGCTGGCTTTGCCCTGGATGTGATTGTAAAGTTGATTGTATTGGTTATCTTAATGATTTCCAGGGAAAAAATCTTTCTGTGGTTGAAAGTTGGGAGGTCTAGTCTTTAATCTTTTGTGGATAAATAGTTAAATGTTAATAATTAGCTGCTCATTATTCCCTCGTCTAATTTACAGAAAATCTTTCCTGAAGCTGCTGCATCTGCATCAGGGAATAAGCTGGATGATGGTTCTGGATCTTCATCAGATGATTCTGAGGATGATGACTATGACCCTGATAAGCCGGATATAGTCTTGAAGGTTTCAGAAGTTGAATTAAGTGATGACAAATCTGGAGACAAATCAAGTTCTGATGATTCTGATTACTTCTCGGCATCTGATGAATTGGCGGGTTCTCCTAATAACAACCAGTATCTGGGACTTCCTTTTGACGATTCAGATGATGATGATTTTGATCCTGCTGCTCCAGTTCAAGATGAGGAGGTGAAGCAGGATAGTTCAAGCTCTGATTTCACATCTGACTCAGAGGATCTTGGTGCTCTTCTTGATGATGCCACTGCACCTGGAATTTCTCCAGTGCTAGGTGCTGATGAAGAAAAATTTAAAGCTGGTAAAGTGAAGAGTCAATCACTAAGAGGTGAGAACCTTTTGGAGATCAATGATGCACCCGTGTCTGGCAAAAGACGAGTAGAACGGTTGGACTATAAAAAATTGAATGATGTGAGTTTCTTTTACACTGCAGACTATATTTTTTTCCACTTTCCCGCACTTATTTTTGCTTTGTCTGTTGCTGCATGTTTTCTTTCTTGACGCTGTTTCTCTATTACAATAGTTTGTTACTTCTCTCTCTCTCTCTCTCTCTCTCTCTCTCTCTCTCTCTCTCATGTTTTGATGTATCTTTTGAAGGAAACATATGGAAATTCTTCTTCTGAATCAAGTGATGAAGATTTTCAAGATATTCCTTCTCAAAAGAGAAGGAAGATTAACCGTGAAAAAGCAAACTTGATGTCCTCTGACAAAACTCCATTAGCCGAAAATGAAATGGATGCCAAGGATGAAAACCCAAAAGAGAGCGAGTATGGATCTAAAAGAACTAGCGAAAAGGTAATTGATGGGGGCACTAACATTATAACAGCTGAAGCAGGTTCTGGAGATGCAAATGTTAAAAGATCTGCACCTAAAAGGCTTGGAGAAGCTGTAACACAGGTATTAGTTGTATATACGTTTCCCTAACAATTTTAGAATTCTATTGGGAATTATCTTCTATGACCATTTCATTCTTGGTGGTTCACGAAATATGACTGC